CCATCGTAATCCTCTTGGTGTTGCTCTCGCTCGTGCTGCTCATCGACGTGCTTGTTAGCATGATGCTGCTGATGCGGGTTGCAGTCGCGCTGCTGACATCGGTCGTAGTCGTGGGTCTCCTGGAATCGCTCTTGCTGATGCTGCTCATGATCATGTGTCTCAGGGTGGACCTGCTGAAAACGGTCGTGGTCGTAGCTCCTGTGCGGCTGCTCTCACTCGTACTGCTCCACCACGTGCTTAATCGAGTAGTGCTGCTGGCAGTGCTCGCAATCGTAACTCTTGTGGACCCCCACCTCGCACTGCTTCCCAAAATGCTCATCAACGTGGTCCTGCTCGTACCGTTGACTCTGGCGGAGTACGGGTGCTGGTCTCCGTCGTGCTGATCCACGTGTTGCCGCAAAGCGCGGTGGCGACACTTCGGGTGGTGCTGCAGGTTCTCGTCGAGCTGATGGCTGCGCTCGTGCTGCTGGGCGTGGTGTTGCTGGTGGGAGCCGAAATCGTGGCTCTCGTCATGCTCCCAGTCCCACGCGTGCTCGTAGTCCTCGCGGCACTGCTCCGATGGGGCGAGGAGGAGGAGGAGGAGGACGTGGATGAGAAGGCAGAAGAAGATGAAGCCGAAATCCAGTCCCCCGGTCGACCCCCCCTGGACCTCTCTTGCGGACACTGGGGGCTACCCTGGTCACCACGAGACGCCGAGAAACAGTCACCCGGTCGCACCCCCCCTTGACCGCTCTTGCGGCCAGGGGAGACTACTCGGGACGCCATGAGACGCCCGGTTCAACATCGAGGACCAGTCCCCTAACGCGATCAACGAATCAGAGGAGGAGGAGGAGGAGGAGGAGGAGGAGGAGGAAGAGGAGGGTGGGGGGAGGAGGAAGAGGGAGAGTGGGAAGAGCAGGAGGAGGAGAACGATGATAAGGAGGAGAATGCTGCCGCGTTGCTGGACCTTCTGGCTGGTGACGCCGACGACGCCGTGAGCCTGTGGTTGTCGCCGACGGCGCCGCACTGGGAGGAGGTGTCGGCGGGGGTCGGGCCGCTGGTGTCGGGAGGCCTGCTCGAAAGCGCCTTCGTTCCGCGGCCTGCCTCACGACTCAGACGAGGCGACGGCAGGTAGGAAGAGGAGGAGGAGGAGGAGGAGGAAGAGGAGGAGAAGAAGGAGAGAGGAAAAGACGGAAGGAAGGGAGCGGCCTCACAGACGGACCAAACCCTGGGACGCCAATCCTCCGAGGAGACGCTTTGGTAGGGATCAGCACTCGGGCCAGTGCTGATCCCTACCGAATTTTCTTCGGGCGTGGAGGCAGCGGGCCCCTTTCCAAGCCCCCTCGACGCGGGGTCACTCCTCCAGTGGCGCTCACGCGGTGACGCCGCAAGAATGGAGTTGCTCGCGCTGGATCCCCTCGCCCGACGGCCAACAGCGGACACCAGGAACCCGTCAGAGGAGGGGGAAGAGAAGGAGAGGGAGGGGGCAAAGGTAGACGACTAGAAACGCACGCCCGTGGTGGACGGAGGGCGAAGCAGGGGGGGAGGCGGAGGAGGGGGACGGGGAAGCCGCCTCCTGGCGACCCAAGGCTGCCCCAGACACGTTGACCTGGCCTCGAATGCCAACAAGACGGTCGGAAACGTTCAAAGGGTAATCAACTGACGTTCCAAAACCGTCAGCGGGTGACTTAGAGACGCCCCGAAGCCGCCCCCAAACGACCAAGGGACGATCCGAAACGTTCCCCGGGTAACCCAAACGCGCTTCCAACCCGGGTCCTGAGGCGCCCCTGGCCCGTCTCCAAGTGACCCGGCGAGGCTCCGACTCCGCCAACGCGGAAATTGGCTTCGAGAACGACCTGGTCCTTGACGAACTGAATGGTGTAGTGATCGACAGGCTGACCGATGCCCAGACAGGCCCGCCAGTCAGTGCGGAAGTCGCGTTGCGGGGTCCCGGAGGGAAAGGCCCTGAAGGATGCCAGAAAACCCTTTGGCCCAGTCCCCGTCCGGGGGTAGAGAGATTTCTGGGCCCCCCAGGAGCGGCCGAAAAACTCCCCCCAGTTTGGGGGCCCCGGAGGGTCCTGAGAGCAGAAACTGGCCCCAGTTTTCCGGGAGACGCCGGTCAGCGACCGCGGGGGCGAGCCCGCCGTCATGCCCGGGGCTCCGCAAGGGCGGCCAGGAAGGGGTGGCGGGGAGGTCTGGGGGGGTTGGGGCAAACTCCTGACAGAGGACAGGGAGGACCCAGGGGAGGGAGGGAGAGGCTGGGGACAGGGCAGCTACGAGAGGCGGATAGGGGGAAGAAGGGGAGGGCAGGGAGGTCAGACCAACGATCACCGTTGGGGAACCCCGAGTCCCCGAAGGACTCCGAGAGCGATTGGGTGTCCGCGCTGGCAAGCCAATGGGGGGGCTGCTGCGGCTGGCGTCGCTGCCGCCCGTCCGTCGCACCCCTGGCTGTCGTAGTAGTCGAAGTCGTGGTGCGGGCCAGCGATCCGCTGCTGATCCCTGTCGTGCGCGTTGAAGAGGCTGCTGGTTCTCGTCGTGCGGTTCACCGTCGGAGTGCCAATTTCCGCCGAGCCGCCCAGCACCGAGGTGGTCGCCATCCCCGTGCTCATCACCGTCCTTGTCCGAGGCGTGCTGCCCAGGGGCGTGCTGCTCGCTGACGCGCCTCTTGTCCCATTGGCGGGCGGGCGGGATCCTTGCAGGAACAGCCCTGAAGGGAAGCAGAAAAGAACGGGGGCAATCCCCCCCTCGCTGGGCCAGGCAGCCAAGAAATTGGGGCCTAGGACCAGTGGGGACCGGGTCCAAAGCCGGACCAGGGAAGAGGGAGAGGGCGGCCGAGGACCCGGGGCCAGGGGAGAAGAAGCCAGGACACAGAGGAAATAAGGGAGGAGCCGGGTCAGCAAGAGGCAAAGAAGGAGTCGTAAGAGCCAGATGGGTGGTCCCGTGGGTTTGGGCTCCTTGGGTCCGCGTAAAGCTCTGAGGCGGGCCGGGCCCTTGCGCAGGCTCGGCGCAGAGCTGCGGCCAGAGGCTGCTGCCGATCGGACTGCTGGTCGCACTGCTGGTCGCCATCGTCTCGGTCCAGAGAGTGGTGGGTGTGCTCGATGTGTTCGTGGGGTCCTGGCCACTGGCCGCCGTCATGCTGGTCGTGGCAGGGGCGGAGGTCGGAGAGCTGGTCGGCGTTGGAGTCGGCGGGCTGCCCGAAGCCTGGGATGGCCAAGTAGCAGGCGATGGAGTTGAAGAGCCAGTCGGGGCTGATATCCGTGGGCTGGTCGATGTGGAAGTCGACAGGTCGGTCGAACTCGCCCCGGGCATCGTCGTCCATAAGCCGTTGGTCGTCGGGTTCGTGCGTCTGGTGTCGGGGTCGGTCGTTGGGTAATGGTCGGGGGCGGGGCGGTGGGGGGCAAGGGTGTGGGGGGTAGTTGGAAGAGAGAGGGCCGGCCGCCTGTAACTCGTGAGCGTGAATCAAAAAACATTAACCAAGCTAGAGGCATTAGCACCGAACGGAGCAACAGAACAAACAATGACATTAGCGATACAGGTGGGCACAGCTGCAAGAGGGCTGGGACGAGGGTGCGAAGGGCGAAAATGGAGGGAAGAACAGGATCGGGAGGGCCCACCCGAGGTGCGATGAATTGAAAAATGCGTTGGCGAGGCCGGCTCAGGTCCGGCGATGGTGGAGCGGAAGGCCGCCGCGGTGCAGTCCTCGTTGATGTTGCGCGGCACGTCCGTGGTCCACATAGGCTGGATGGTGATGTCGATCGTGACTCCGCCGACCAATGGTCGAACTCGTACTTCAGGTGACCCTCAACGATGGTCGCCTCATCCTTGCTCAGGAACGGCTGGTCCCCGAAGCAGAGGTCTCTGGCGGACGCGAGGGGCTCCTGTCGACTCAACTTCAGTTAGCACCGCATGCACATCTTGTTGGTGACTGGAGGGGTGATGGTCGTGATCTCCACGGTGCTGGGCACGCAGGCGTTGCGCACTGACCGCTAGAGCGTGGAGAACACCAGCCAGTAGTTGGCCAGATCCTCCAGGTGGAAGGGGGGAACCTCGGGCCCACGACCATGATGCTCTCCTGGGGAGCCCTCCTCGCCACGGTGCCATGCACGGCGGCCTTACTCTGGCCGTGCCATAACAGAATACAGCTCAGGGCGGCCAGGACGGGCAGGAAGCCGAACGAGAGCGCCGTCGCGACCACAGGCGCCTGACGGGGATGCCGGCGGCGGGGGTTCCACGCCCGGCACCATCGCGGCGGCGAGGGGGGCCGCGAGGGGGGGCCGCGGCCCCTCTGGGAGAGGGGTCGCCGCGGCGGCCTCTCCCGCGCGCCGCGGGCCGCGCGGATCGCTTGAGCCCTCCCTCACCCCAGATATCCAGCTACCGAAAGCTATTGTGCGCGAGGTCACAATCACAAGCCCATCCAAGAGGGCGGATAAGCACAGCAGCAAACGCTGCAAACGTGCAGCGATATGCTTGCTGATCCTAGCGTATGTGCTCCTCCCCCACCCTCCCCCACCCCTGCCCCGCAGAACGCGCAGAAAGTATTGGTGTCCCTGCGCCGCTCTTCTCCCGACATCCCTATTCGCACTGCGGTGAGAGGCAGTGTCCAACACCAACATCACCAGGCGACCTCAACAACCCAGTCTTGTGTCTAGGTCCAAGGGCGCCTAACTTCGCACTTCGCGCTGCGCGAAGCGCGAATAGCCTCGCGCCCTCGCGCCGCCCCCCAGGGGAGAAGAGGAGCCGAATCGCGAAGCGCGAAGCGCGAAAGACTTCGCGCCCTCGAGGGCGCCCTTGAGGTCATGGTGGACAAAACGACGCCGAGCAGGGTGATTTCCCGGCCGCCCCCCGCGCTCCCCTCGGACGGGTCCTCCAAGGCCCCCAGGACCCCCGAGGCCACCTAAGACTGCCCAGGAAGCACCCAAGGAAGGCCCCGCAGGAGCCCTGTGCAGCAGCAGAGCAGCCCCTCACCCATGCTGCGATCACGAGGGCGGTGGTGGAGCCCCCGTGAGCGGCGGTCACGCATCCTCTTCCAGTTCGGCATGCTCGTCCTGAAGCCCGCGCAGCCGGTCAAGCTCGAGGTCCTCCGCGAAGGCCACGCGAGCCTTGGCACGCCATCATCCTCGGACTCCTCCTGTTTCTCCTCGTCACCCTCCTCCTCGCTCCTCGCTCCTGATTCTCTTCCTCCTCCTCTTCCTCCTCCTCCTCCACCGCCTGGTAATCGTCCTCCTCCTGCGCGTCCTCCCAACCCTCTTCCACTATGTTCGTCCTCTGGGGAGTGGCTCACGCCCCCAGCTAAGCACCCCCACGACGCAACACTGCGCCCATCGCCTGTGGACCTCAGGTGGCTGGCAGCCTGGCGTAGGGGACGCACGTGGCCAACCGCGGTGAGAGGGACGAGCCGCACTTGAAAACCCTTCTCTGGAGCAGACGTCACGTCACGGGTCGGGGGGGCCTCTTGTGGCAATTTGAAACTATTCTGAACTGCCCTTGGGGCCCTCTTGCGGACTGTTCAGCCCCTCTTGGGGTGGGCCGTCCTGGGGGCGCTTGGGGCAGATGTAACGAGGGTTTGGAGGGGGGCACGTTGGAGCCCTCGGGGAGCTCGCTTGGGGTGTTCGTTGGAGGTATGCCATCTTCGGGCCGTTCTGGACCCCTCTTTGGCCGTCCTCGGACCAAATTGAAGCTCGAGAGGTCCTTCGGAAGCCGACGAGGCGAAGAAGCAAAGTATGTCAAATGTCGTAGGCGTTCCACAAGCTTTCGTGACTCGGGGGTATCCCTGGGAGGCTCTGGGACCACGGGGTAGTCTTGGGGCATGCGGGAGCCATCCTGGAAGCAATTGGAGGGCAGCATGGCCCTTCGAACACTATCTTGAATGTGTTCTTGAATTGTTGTTATCAGAATGATGGGGCCGAATGCTCACTCTTTGTTCCCAGGTGCGTGGCTGAAGTGGGGATCCGCGGGGAGGATTCTGCTTGTTGTTGTTGTCGTCGTCCCCCCCCGCGACCCGCCCGCGACCCACCCGCGACCCACCCCGCGACCCATCCCACGACCCACCCCGCGAGCAACCCCGCGACCCACCCCGCGACCCACCCGCAACCCACCCCGCAACCCACCCCGCGACCCACCCCTCGACCCACCCCGCGACCCACCCGCGACCCACCCCGCGACCCACCCCACGACCCACCCGCGACCCACCTGCGACCCATACGCGACCCACCCGCGACCCATCCGGGACCCGGCCCGCGGCCCACCCGCGACCCACCCGCGATCCACCCGCGACCCACCCCGCGATCCACCCACATTGCTTTAACGAAGAAATCGGCGCCTGCGGCAGGCGCACTGCATGATTTGTGAAAGTTAGGCGCCTGCGGCGGGCTTCTTCAGAGCCTCGCAGACTGACGACGTACTCGCCGCCCCCTCACTCTTATCCGCAACTGCGGGGTGCTACGTATTATTTCCGGTGACGGTCGTTACCCGGGGGAGGGTGGGGCCACGGGTGATGATAACGCTGTACTCACTACTCGCTACTCCCACACTCGCTGCTCAATACTCACTACCCACTCCCCGCTACTCACTACTCACCACTCACTACTCCCTACTTCCTACTCACTAGTCCCTACACACTCTCTAGTCACGAGTCACAACTCACTAGTCACTAGTCACTAGTCAATACTCACTACCCAATACGCACTACGCACTATTCGCTACTCACTACCCCACTATTCGCTACCCACTACTTACTACTCACTGCTCACTACTACCCACTCCCTACTCCATACGCGCTACTCACTACTCACTACTCGCTACTCGCTACTCCCTACTCGATACTCACTAATCAGTACCCACTACTCACTACTGACTACTCTCTACTCACTACTCACTACTCACTACGCCCTAATCGATTCTCACTACTCACTACTCGCTACTCACTACTCACTACCCACTGCCACTACCCACTACTTTCTGTTCATCACTACTCACTACTGACTACGCACTACGTACTACTCAGTACTCAGTACTCACTACTCACTACTCAATACTCACTACTCGCTACTCACTACTCACTACTCCCTACTCCCTACTCGCTACTCATTACTCACTACTCACTACTCACTACGCACTACGCACAACCCACTACTCACTACTCGCCAATGACTACTCGCCACCCACTACTCAGTCCCCACTACTCAGTACCCACTACTCATTACTCCCTAGTCCATAACCAATATTCACTATTCGCTATTCGCTACTCGCTACTCACTACTCACTACTCGCCACTCACTACTCACTTATCAGTACTCACTACTCTCCACTGCCTACTCCCAACTCCGTATTCCCTACACACCTTGTCCAGCGCAGAAAGGAGAAGCGAGAGAGGCCCCCCCCCCGGCCCCCTTTCAGGCGCAAAAGGGGGGAGGGGGGGGGTCCGACCCCCCCCCCCCTTCCAACGCCACGGGGGGGAGGAGGGGGAGGGGGTCCGAACCCCCCCCCCGCCGTCAAAGGGAGGGGAAGGGGGTTCGGGACCCCCCCGCCCCCTAAAAGGGGGAACGGGGGAGGAAGGGTGGGGTTCGGACCCCCCCCTTTTGAAGGGGGGGAAGGGGGGGGGGGTCCGACCCCCCCACCCCCTTCAGTGTATTCAGGGAGATCCACTGGCGCACTTTCCAAATCACGCAGGAGAAGAATAGGATGCGCACTTGACGACGACAGCGACCGAGACGGACGGCAAGACAGCGAGAGCGCACGAGAGAACGAACGCGTCGACGCGCACCTGCGGGCGGGCGGAAATCCCCCCATTCGACCCGAGGGACGCATTCAAATAGAGAAATGGCACAGGCCCCAGGCACGGGCCGAGTAACGGGAATAACGTAAACGCGGCGAGCTCGACAACCGGGGCCCCCAGGGCTCAGCTGCCCTGAGCGGGGGCGCGGGCGCCGAAAGCAGCGCCGCCCAGCCGACGCGAGACGACGCGAAAAAGAGGGGGAAAGGAGAAGGGAGAGAGAGGAGAGATGAGTAGACTTCGCGATCAACAGGCATGCACCCCGAAGGGTGCGAACCTTCGCGCGGGTCGAACACCGGCTACTTCGACCGCACCGCGCGCGCTCATGTCAGGAGGTGCCAGTTCGCAAGGCCGCGACCCTCCTGCTAGAGAGTTAGTTGGCTCTGCAGGGCTGCGACCCCCCTGCGAGAGGTTCCATACTTGACAAGGGGGAGAAGAGGAGAAGGGAGGGACCAGACACGACTCCAGGGATACGCGGGGAGGAGGCCCCCGCGACCCCCTGACCGACGGACCGGACGAGGGAAGGGAGGGGGAGGAGGAAAAAAAACCCGCGGGGGACATCCGCGCCCACGCACCTGCAGTGAGAAGAGGAATAAGAAGAAAAACATCACTTCCACGTGCGACTTACAGACAACGACAATCTTCATCCACGAAACAAATCAGGAGGACACGGGTCCGCAGTGAGTACATAGTACGGCTCCTGCCCTAAGTCATGGAATCGTCTGCGGAAGCAGAAGTTGGCACCTGTTTGCCAGGCGACTCGCGCGCGGCCCAAACGGGAAAGGAAGTCCTCGGCCCGCGCCTTCTCAGCATCCCTGATCATCGAGTCTCTTTTCGAGCCTGGGAAAGGCGACGCATGAGTCATGCACGAGGTCCGCCGCCCGTGGGGGCGAAAACTTACACCGAGGTCGAGTGGCCACCTGGCCAGTCTGGGCCCACGCACCATGCAAATCTGCCAGGGCGCTGTGATTCCGCAAAGCGATCACATACAGCCCCCCATGCCATCAATGCCCGCTCGCGTCAGATGCGTCACAACGTCGAACGACGCCCTGTTCGGCAACGCGCAACATTCGGCAAAACACGCTATAAAATGAACGTGGGCACGGTGGCAACACGCGCATGCAAAAGCGAAGAAGAGAGAAGACAAGTGAGGGATGAACACGTAGAAGGGAGACAGAGAAGCAATATATTGTCAGAGGAAAAAAGAAAACGATGGATGAGTAGGGGATGAGTGGAAAGAAACCAGAAAACAAACTTGAAAATGGGGGGGGGATCGAAATCCCACCAGCCCTTTGGGCGTGAGTGGTTTAGCGAGCTCTCTCTGTTCTCAACCCCCCTTCTTCCCCTTCGGGGAGGGGCTTACCCCTCCCCCTACCCCCTACCCCTGGACCTGGAGAGGGGGTCCGGCGGGTCGTCAGGGGGGTAAATTTCGACTCCTGGGGGGGCTAAAAAACGGCACCCCTCACGAGGATTCTGCCCCCGACGGGGGGGCGCCGAAAAAACCCTCTCCTCTTCTGTGAAGCCAAAATCATTAATTTTACTACGGTTTCGGCCCCATTTTGGCCTTCTGAGGGGGCAGCGTTCCTCTTCCTTGTTCTCAAAATCATTGATTTTACGAAGGTTTTGGGCTCAGTTGGTCCTTCTCAGGGGGTAGCGCTCATTTGCGCTTCTGAGGAGGTCGCATGAGGCCCCCAAGAGGCCCCAAGATGCCCCCAGGAGGCTCCCAAGAGGCCTCCAAGAGGCCCCCAAGAGGCCCCCAAGAGGCCCCCGGAGGCCCCCAACAGGCCCCCAAGAGGCCCCCAAGAGGCCCAAGAGCCCCCAAGAGGCCCCCAAGAGGCCCCCAAGAGGCCCTCAAGAGGGCCCCAAGAGGCCCCAAGAGGCCCCCAAGAGGCCCCCAAGAGGCCCCACGAGGAGCCCGAACGACTCACACCAGGACGAGGGGCCCGAACGACTCACACCACGAAGAGCCCGAACGACTCACACCACAAGGAGGGGCCCGAACGACTCATACCAGGACGAGGCGCCCGACCGACTCACACCACGAGGAGCCCGAACGACTCACACCACGACGCGGGCCTCGAACGACTCACACCACGAGGAGCCCGAACGAGTCACACCAGGAGGAGGGGCAGCGCTCATACAAGCCCCCCAAGAGGGCCCCCAGAGGTCCACCATATGGCCCCAAGAGGTCCCCAGATGGCCCACAAGAGGTCCCCAGGAGGCACCACGAGGCCTCCATGAGGCCCCAAAGATACCCCCAAGAGGTCCCCAAGAGGCCCCAAGAGGCGCCGAAGACGCCCCAAGAGGCCTCCGAACGGCTTCCAAAAGACATATACTACTACTTCTTCTCCTACGATTACTACTACGTGTACTACTACTACTACTACTACTACTACTACTACTACTACTACTACTACTACTACTACTACTACTACTACTACTACTACTACTACTACTACTACTACTACTACTACTACTACTACTACTACTACTACTACTACTACTACTACTACTACTACTACTACTACTACTACTACTACTACTACTACTCGAACGACTGTTTGACTACATCATCTCGTACTACTACAACTACAACTACTCTTACGACTACTACCAGATCTACTCGTACTACTAGTCCTACTACTACTACTATTCCTCTACTACTACTACTACTACTACTACCACTACTACTACTACTACTACTACTACTACTACTACTACTACTACTACTACTACTACTACTACTACTACTACTACTACTACTACTACTACTACTACCACTACCACTACTTATTACTACTACCACAACTCCATACAGACCACTGCTCTAGTGACTGCCTCTGTTACTGAGGCAACTAGTGCGACGACGACGTTGACGACTACGTTTGCTACTACCGCTGATACTGGAAATACCACTATTACTACTACTACTACACTACGACTACTACTACTACTACTACTACTACTACTACTACTACTACTACTACTACTACCGTCCTACTCCTCCTCCTACTACTGCTACTTCTACTACTACTACTACTACTACTACTACTTCTACTACTATTACTACTACTACTACTACTACTACTACTACTACCTACTACTACTTACTACCTAGTACTACCACGACTACACTAAATACTACACTACTACTACTACACTACTACTACTACTACTACTCTACTACTACTACTACTACTACTACTACGACTACACTACTAACTGCTACCCTACTACTACTACTACTACTACTACTACTACTACTACTACTACTACTACTACTACTACTACTACTACTACTACTACTACTACTACTACTACTACTATTACTACTAGTACTACTACTACTACTACTACTACTACTACTACTACCACTACTACTACTACTACTACTACTACTACTACTACTACTACTACTACTGCTACTGCTACTACCACTACCAATACTACAACTGATCCTACTGGCACGGCTTCTACTACTACGACTAGGAGCCGAAGAGGAGGAAGAGGAGGAGGGAGAGAGAAGGCGATGGAAGGCAAGACAGAAGGCGGTCGTCCTCGAGTCCTACACGCAACCGGCTCTGTCGACTCACACGACGGCGACGTCTCAGACGATGACGGCGGCGACGACGACGACGACGACGACGATGCTTACGACGACGACGGCGACCTCGACGACGACGATTACATGGACGACGGCGTCGATGATCCAGCGATCTTTCCCGACCAGTTCTGCAGCGCGCACGGGGCAAAAGTAACTACCCTGCTCAGGCTCGCAGCTCTGCGCTGCACTAGAGAGGCAGGTTCGCCCATCAAGTCGGGCGCGGGCAGCAGGCGGCAGGTTAGGAGGGAGAGGTGGAAGAGGAGCACCAGGGGAAACTCGCCTCCAAGATCGTTCCCCTCGAACCGATCTGAGGATTTCCGTTCGACAAGGGTAGAATCACGGAACTCAGAGTGCGCGCGTCCTGGACCAGAACGCAGGTGGCGCGCGTCGTTGGGGCCCCTCGCCCTGGCGTGAGTCGTTCGGGCCCCTCCCTGTGTGAGTCGTTCGGGCCCCTCGCCCAGCCCTCTGAGACATCTCGCGCTGACCGCCGTGCCTGCATGTCACCGAGGGCTAACCGCCACGACGACCTGCTGACACGAACGCGGGGCGAATGGAGAAGAATATGACTCACATCAGATGCAAAAATGGAGATCTCGTAGCGGTGCTGGGCTACGTGCGGAACTTGCGCACACAAGCCACCTCGTGCCAAAAAAACACAGTAGGCGCGCGCGTTCGGGCCGCAAACCAAGTCACCATTGACGTGGTGGTCGTGGTCGTCGTCGTCGGCGCCGTCGTTGTCCTTTCGTCATCGTCGTCATCGTCATCGCCATCACATCCGAAGCCATGGGAAAGAAAGTGCCGCGCGCCGACCGCACTGTGGAAGCTCAACATGAAGCGAGAGCGCCAGCAACCAATATTTTGCGCGCTCGCTTCCAGGAGCACCCGTGGCAAGCAAAAGTACAACAAAGCACAGGCGCTTCTCCATGCCAACCGCAAAGATGATGCTAGTAGGCGGAGACTATTACGGGTAGGCGGAGCGAAGCTCACAGCCACACTCCAACACTAGAAGCCAGAGTGGCAACGACAACAACGCTGGTCGGGAAAGGTCGCTGGTTTCGACGACGGCCGCCCTCTGTCTTGCCTCCCACCTCCTTCCCTCCCGCCTTCTCTTCCGACTCCTCCTGCTTCGGACCATAGAATACACGCACAGGGAAACAGACACATGCTTGCACCAGACAACTGTCGGCATGCTTCGCTGGGGGTCCTCGTCGGCGATGGCACTACCACTACTGCGTCTACATTTACTACAACGACTACTACGACTACTACGACGACTCCTACTATTACTACTCCCACTACTACTTCTACTGCTACTACGAAGTCTACTTCAACTACTGCTGCTACTACTCATCGTACTACTGCTGCTTTGCCTCCTACTCCTACTACTACCACTACTACTACTACTACTACTACTACTACTACTACTACTACTACTACTACTACTACTACTACTACTACTACTACTACGGCAAGCACTACTCCACTGAAACTTGTCGTGTCGCTACTACTGCTACTACTACTACTACTACTACTACTACTACTACTACTACTACTACTACTACTACTACTACTACTACTACTACCACTACACGGAAGCGAGAGGAAGGAGGAACAGGGGAGCTATGCGGAGCCCAGCGGACACACGCCTGACACACACCACTGTCGGCATGCTTCACAAAAGGTGTTGCTGTGAGATGGGCTGGTGGGGGTACGCGAAGCGTAAAGAATATCTCTTCCGCGCAAGAAACGTCGAAGACTGGCGCGTTGACCTGTGTGGGCGTTGCCACCGACGCAAGACGGGGAGCTGCCCACATGCAACTTCGCCAATTTCGCTTCCTACCGAGACTGCCGATGACGGCCACATGGTCCATAGGACAAAGCAGAACTTGCTGAGAAACTGGAAAACGGATGATCGCACGAGAGAGCCTATCAACATATGCCCAGCCCCTGGGGGACAGCGCCCGCAATATGAGTCGGGATGCCCCCCAGAGACGCGTGCGCCTCAAGGCCGGCGCACAGTGAGGTGAGAGGTAAAGCTATGCAGGTGTTGCCACTGGCCAGGCCTGCACCATCGTACACAGAATGAGCTCGCTGAGGATGGTGAGGATCAGGAGAGGCAGGATGAGGATGGTGAGAAACAGGAAGAGCAGGATGAAGATGGTAGGGATCAGGAGGAGGATCAAGAGGAGGAGGATTCAGGATCCAGAGGAGGAGGGTCAGGAAGAGGAGGATCAGGAGGACCGGCCGTGCCGGCCAAGGCCACCGCGCCCACTGTGCCCCCGAGCGGCGCGCGCGGCCCTGCGGCACGGGCGTCGGGGCCTCGTGCCTCGTGGGCGGCGTGACCTCTGGACGGGACGCAAAAGCACATACCAATGCTGACCTCCTCCTGCTCCTCCTCCTCCTCCTCCTCCTCCTCCTCCTCCTCCTCCTCCTCCTCCTGCTCCTCCCCCTTTCCTCATCAGCCCCCTCCTCCCTCCCGCGACGACGGTGACTCCGCTCGCCCTCCCCGTGCTGACGGAGGAGGAGGAGGAGGAGGAGGAGGAGGAGGAGGAGGAGGATAAGTGACTTATGGATGGGCGTCAGTACGATGTCGGCAAAAGGACATACCAGTGCTATGCGCTCGTAGGTGCACGCCCGAACAGAACATCTGGTACGGACATGTTCCCAAAGATCCGACGCTCCCAAAAAATGGAGCAGCGGATTTTTAGTTATTTTCGGCCTCTGCTGGGAGCCCTCGTCGGACCTCGGGACCATCAACAATCGATCCAGGACGAAAAACCGGCCCTGGGGAAGTGCCCCAAACCTCCAGGGCCCACGCATCGAAAAACTGGAACGGCCGGATGTCTGGGTTGTAATGAATATCCGTACCCGATCGATATGGTCAGAAAGCGACCTCTGGGGCTCCCACAAGCGGTGCAGTGACCACACCGCCTGATGAGTCAGGAGGGATTCGGTGTCACCGCACGGTTTCGAGGCTCGGGGGCTCGGGTCGTTCTCAGAGACGTCTTGGGCGTCTGGGGCCTCCGAGGTCCCAAGATGATGCAGTGACGGACCGCGCGGTGAGGTCGTTGGGGATTCCGAAGTCACCACGCGGCCCGTCACCGCAGTACAGTTTTCGGCCCCCCGATCTAATACGAAGCCAAGACAGCGATACAATCGGACTCGGATGGATCGGGGAACTCTGTGATCTGGCAATTCTGGAGGATGTCTCGGGGACCATGGCCGTTCTAGAGCGCTCCGGAACGCTACGAGAGCGTTCCGGAACGTTCCTGAATGATTTACCCTGGTCCTGGGCCCAGCCGAAGGCCAGTCAGCAGCGAATCGGGAAATAGGATCGGATCGGAATGTGCGTAGAATCGGGCAGCATCGACACGGACTCGGAATCGGGTCGGATCGGGGCTGCGCCAGGATGCGTCGCAACGCCACGAAAACGTCGGTCCGCGTCGGATCGCCAGGAAATCGGAATCATTATCGGACCTGGCGAAATCGACAACGAATCAGATCGATCTGATCGAAGTGGACCCTGTGAGGGCGAGGAGGGAAAGCCTAGAAGACGCCTTCGCCTCATGCACCTCCTCCGCCGTGAAGGGTTCCCCTCAAATCCTGAAAGTCAGGCATGTGTTACGTCTTCAACCAGCCCTCGAAGCCCCCCCCTCAGAGTGTAACTCACGGGGGGGGGTCCCCCCACAGCCCCCACATCAGGGTGCGCGGCACCTCCTTCCACGAGGGGCACTAGCGGCAGACCCGTGAGTGCACGGGGGTTGCAAGTGCACAGCCCGTGCCGACGCTCCCTACTTCCGCCCCGGGTTCGCAGCCGAGTGCAACTCACCGATGTCACGTCCGACATCTGCGCCGAGCGGGGGCCAGCCCCAGCTGCCGGCCCCCTCCGCTGCACCAACCTCGTCACACTCCAGCAGCAGCGTCGTGCCATGCTTTCGTCGGTCGTTCCGCAAGCCCCCTGGTCGCACAAGGGCGCCTAGCTTCGCGCTTCTTGCTGCGCGGCCCTCGCGCCACCCCCCAGCGGAGAAGAGAATAAAGAGGAATCGGAGCCGAATCGCGAAGCACAAAACGCGAATAACTTCGCGCCGAGGGCGCCCCTGGTCGCACCACCACCGCCCCGTTCGAAGGATCGCCAACTCCTGTCCCCTGGAGTCACTCTGGGCCTTTTCAATTCTAGAGACTCTATCATTTCGGCGCCGTCGCCCGTGATGACGTCTGACAGGTCCAGGGCAAAATCGGCCAGCGGTTGATAGCGTCGCGCCGTGGCTTTCCACATCTGCACTTTGCGAACCCTCTTCTGATAAATCGCGGCTGCTTGCACACGTTCTGGAGCTTCGCCTCGAGCGGAGGCCGCGGCGGGCAAGGTCCACCTCTCCATTTCTTACGTTATCCTCGACCGGTGCGTCGAAACTCTGCTGAGCTTCGTCGAACTTCCGACGGAGCCTCATCATGCCATCCATTTTCCTGATCCTCCTCTGGCCAATCCTCATCGTCCTGGCCTGGCTCCGCTTCTTGTCCTGGAGCCTGCTGGTTCGGCGGCGGATCCTCAGCTCGTCCACTGTTCCAGCCGCGGTAGCGAAGGCGGCCTGGGGCCGCATCGTCGCCTCGAGCACCCTGAACGGCGCCAGTCCCCCAGGCAGCCGTCGTGCGATACATTCTGAATGTGAATCAAGAACGGGTCGGAATCTGTCCGAGCCAGCATGGGAGTGTCCAGCAGGTAGCTGTCGTCGCCGAAAGGCGACTCGTTGCGAGGGAGCTCCGAACACGCCCCGCTGCCAATGCAGCGCGCACGCAGGCGCTGGTGACAATCTTACATATTATCCAAGACCGTCTCGCGGGCAAATGTAAGTGTGCCTGCGTAGCAGCTAGGAGGGCCCCCTCGAGCCGTAAAACACTTACGGGCAAGAGGGGTCAGAACAGCAGCAACACTAGCAGGGACCAGTAAGTGCACATAAACACATAAACACAATGTCTGTTGCAGTATCGGCATGGCTGTGATATCCTGCAGGCTGGTATGTATAGGATGTGTGAGCGCGGGAGGAAGGACGACGAGCGGCGACGACCCGAGGTACTCTTTCTCACTAGCGCGAGGTTGGCCCGTGGTGCCAACCCAGTCCCTACACTGATACAAAACAGGTGCGGATGCACAATATGGTGCAAAAATTTGTAGTCCCAAAACGTGGTGGTGACAACACCCGGCGGTGAGTCGCAGGCGATTTGGTGTCACCACCCGCTTTGGGGACCCGTATGGTTTTCCGAGGATGTCCCGAACGCTGGTGGGTCCAGGACTCACACAGCCCGGCGGTGACCCCGTGTTCCAAAACCCGGCGGTGACTTTGCGTGGATTCCAGGTCACCACCTGATATCTCAGCATCTGATATGGGGACTCCCAAAACAGCAGTTAGCGGCGGCGGCGGCACAGAAACACCAGGGAGAGAGACTAAACAACTCAAGAACATCCAACAAAAACGAAGAACATCAGGGCACCCTCCCCGAACCGACCTCGGTCTTATCCATGTCTGGTCCGACTGTACGGATACAGGCGCCACAGCTTCTCGAGTTGTGGGATGCTGGGGCACCTACGTATACACAAAGCTCATTCGCCAAACTCATCGGAGTTTTTTGGCCGACCTGCATACACGGAGCCCCTCTGAATGCGCCCACGCCCCCGAAAGAGCAGGCCATGGAGGAAGGGGGATGGAGGAGGGCGAGGAGGGAGGAGGAAGATGGAGGGGCAGAAGGGAAAAAACTGGAGGAAGAAAGGAAGCTGGAGGGAGGACGAGGCGGGGAAGGAGGAGGACGAGGAGCAGCAGGGAGGAAGGAAGCCTGAGGGGAAAAGGAAGCTGAAGGGAGGAGGAGGAGAAGGAGGAGGAGGAGGAGGAGGCGGAGGAGGAGGAGGAGGAGGAGGAGGAGGAGGAAGATCGGCAGGAGCAGCAGCAGCAGCAAAAACCCCCCATCCCGCGCTGCCCCCCCCCAACCGATCGCGCCCCGCTCCGGCGCCGCCCCCGCGACGCGCCGCCCCGCTCGAGGGCGGCGGCTCCAAGACCGCGGCGAGCCAGCTCGGCCCCGAGGCTCTCGAGGCGAGCCTACGGGCGCCCCCCTCCCTCCCTCCCTCCCTCCTTCCCTCCCTCCCTTCCTCCTCCCCCCCCTCCCCCCCTCCTCCGCTCCCTCCCTCCCTCCCTCCCTCCCTCCCTCCTCCCTCCCTCCTCCTCCTCCTCCTCCTCCTCCTCCTCCTCCTCCTCCTCCTCCTCCTCTTCCTCCTCCTCCTCCTCTTCTTTCTTCCTCCTCCTCCTCCTCCTCCTCCTCCTCCTCCTCCTCCTCCTCCTCCTCCTCCTCCTCCTCCTCCTCCTCCTCCTTCCTCCTCTCCTCCTCCTCCTCCCCCTCCTCCCTCCCAATTACACAATATGAAAATACTCTCCCACTTCCCCTGATGGCGTCCCGAAGATATCCGACACCCCCCCGCGTATTGTTTTTTACACACAGGATTCCCGGGAAACGGGTTTTCGCTTGTGTTTTTTTTTCAAAATGCTGCTCTCGCCGAGGCGCCGGCCTCATTTTCGGGCCCCGCTCGTTCCGAATCGTGCTCCCGCTGCAGCGCTGGCCTCATTTCCGTGCTTCCGCTCGTTCCGAATCGTGCTCCCGCTGTAGCGCTGGCCTCATTTCCGCGCTTCCGCCCGTTTCGACTCGTGCTCCCGCTGCAGCGCTGGCGTCATTGCCCGTGCCATGCCACAGCACACGCGAACACACGCACACACACACACACACACACACACACACACACACCACCACCACCACCACCACCACCACCACCACCACCACCACCACCACCACCACCACCACCACCATCACCACCAGCACCAGCACCAGCCCACCACCACCACCACCACCACCACCACCACCACGCACACACGCACGCACGCACGCGCACCACCACCCACTAGTCCGCGGATGGAGAAAATCAGCGACATGGTAAGGGATGGGAGGGAGCGGTAGGACGTCAGATATGACGCGCACGCATCTAGCTTGTCCTCCCCCCTCCCTCCCCCCCTTCCTCCCCCCACTCCTTCCTCCCACCCCCTCCCCTCATTCCCTCCCTCCCTCCCTCGCTCCCCTTCCCTCCCCCCTCCCTCGCCCCCCCCACACTCCCTCCCCCCCTCCCGCCGCCCGCCGCCCGCCCGCCCGCCCGCCCGCCGCCGCGCCCGCCCGCCCTCCCCCCCTCCACCTCCCCCCCTCCCTCCCGTCCCTCCAATCCCTCTCGGCCGGCGGCGCAGAGTTGCCCGCACCCTGTCGCCGTGGGGGCGCGTCGCCGGCAAGCGGGAAAAGAGTCTTTAGTCTCCAATTACGGGAGGAGGAGGAGGGTGAGGGGATGAGGAGGAGGGGACGGTCGCGCAGAAGGCGCACCGGCAAGGGCGGCACGGCAGGGGAAGGGAAGGGAGGGGGAAGGGAGAGGGGGACGGGGGGCGGCGGTGTCCGTCGGCGTGGTGGTGGTGATCAAGCTGGTGGTGGTCGTGGTGGTCGTGGTGGTCGTGCTGGTGGCGGTCGTCGTGGCGGTCGTGATGGTGGTGGTCGTGGTGGCTGGTAGGTGTGGTCGGTTTGCTGGTGGTGTTGGTGGTCGTGGTGGTCGTGCTGGTGGTGGTGATGTTGGTAGTCAGTCAGCTGGTGGCTGTGGTGACCGTGCGGGCGGCGGTGGTCCTGAGAGTCGGCCGGGCTGGAAGTGGTCGTACTGGTGGTTGGTCACGTGGCGGTGATAGTGGCCAGCGCCTACCTCCCCAGGGCGCTCAGGATCACCTCAGCACTCCCTTGTTGTAGGGTGCGTGAGATGTCCCGCCAGATCCGACTCAAGAGCTCGGACCGGTCGGCATCCTCAAGACAGGCGCCTCCGAACGAAGCTTACTGCCTCGTCGGACGGCCGCCCCCCGGTCTCGAAGACAATTGGGACGAGGTCTAGGCCCTCCCGGGGGGGTACCGGCCCCGTTTGTCGTCGACCATCTGGGCTGCTGCGAGTCCGTCTCGTTCGGCTCGGGCGTGCCTGCGTGGGGCGTAGGTGGAGTGTACGCAAGTCACCGGGCGCCCAGTCGACAAAGATGGGTCGACCAGCGCTGGGGTCGTGTGTCCGGATGTCCAACTTTGCTGCCTGAAGGACCTTAGTGTGGGGATGGCGGCGATCCCACGTTGGAGCGCGTTGTTCCGTCGGAGCAGCATGAACCGTGATATCCTTATGCATGGATGCATGTCGGTCCCGGAGGCGGTCGTGCCAGGTGGCGCGGGATTGGCCCACCTCGCATGACTTGGCATGGAACCCGTGTGGGTCGAGGGGCTCTCTGCACAGCGCGCCGTCTTGTCGTCGGTGTTGACAGCGCGAACCGGCGGGGCAGACTGGCGCTCGCAGCCGGCACATGAGGTTCACCTCGAAGTGGTCGTCTGGCTGCAGAGGGTCTCCTGGTTGTCGAGGTTGGAGAAACGCTCCTGCGCCACAGCCGCCGCGCTCCGGGAGCGCCAGCCGGTCGTTTTCAGGGAGCTCCCGCAGCAGTCGTTCTCGGTTTTTCCTGGATGCTGCCGTGCTCCACGCGCCCTGGAGCTTAGCGTGGGGTTCCTGAAGACTGCGGGCTCTGTCGATGGGCTGTCCGGCTGTCCGGCTGTCGCCCCCGAGGCTTGTGGCGCTTGCTCGGCTTGGGCGAGCGCTTGGAAGGTCCGCGGGCACCGCGTCCGGAACCCTCCAGCGTGCTCACGTCCAGGCACTTTGCCACGTCGTGGAGGCAGAGCGCCCAGCTCGCGGCGTAGGCTGCCGGTGCGGTCTGGGCAGCGGAGGGAATGGGGCACCCTCCGTCTGCGAGGAGCACGGTGGCCTGCAGCCTCTGAAGCTCGTCCAGGTGGCTCCCGCGCAGGAGGTGTTCTAGGGCCGAAAACACCACCGCGTCGAGCTGCTCCACCCAGTTGCCCTGCAGATTGGCTCGCAGGTGGTGGGTCACGCATCCTTGGGCGAAGGTCCGCAGCACGGTGAGGTAGGCCTCGGCGGAGAGCCCAGCCCCTCAGAGGTCTCGGAGTCTCTGGGTGAAGGCCTGCGCCCGTTGCACTGCCGCCGCGCCGTCTTCCCCTGCGTGAACTAGAACCCGGTTCTCCTGTTGGTCGAGCCAAGGCGCCGTGTTCCCCAAGCACTTTAGGTGGTCGACTCCGTGTGCACGGACAACGTCTGGGAGGCCACTTGTTCGGTCCGCTGACCATGCCTGGGTTTTGCTCTCGTTGACCGCCAGGCCGTGGTTGGTGAGGGCGCCGACAACGAAAGGTTTCGCTCCCGCTGCGTGCTCCGGGGGCGCAAATACCATGATGTCGTCTAGATAGGAGAACACGCGGCAGGCGGTGGAGAGGTGCTGGAAGCCCTGAGAGATCTCGTCCAAACAGTCAGGCACTGCAATGGCGAAGAACGCTGGTGAGAGCGTGCAGCCTTGGTCCACGCCTGTTGTGGCCGTCACCGGCCGGGCCTCGATGGCGTCGTCCCAGTAGAGGTGCGTAGTGGCGGCCCCCAGCCAGGAATGCGCGGTGCGAAGGAGGCCAGGCGCCCTTGCCCGGAGATCGAAAAAGATTCGGTCCCGCGGGAAGCTGTTGTAGGCGTTGGAGCAGTCGAAAGCTAAGACCACGCCGCGCGGGTGTGCCTCGGAGAGGGCGGAGATGCACTTGCGCATGACTTCACACCCGGCTGACTTTCCCACTGCGTATTGATGCGGGCCGCAGGCCTGACGCATCTCCTCCTTGTACACTTCGCAGGCTGCCTTGGCCGCCAATCGTCGCAGCACGCCCCCGCACGCGATCGGTCGCAGGCCGCCGTTCCGCTTCCGAAAAGCCACCAGCCGCGCTCCGAGGTTGGCCCGGGTGGCTTCTGCGCTCAGGCAACCGTGCAAGAAGCGAACCGCGACTTTGGCCACTGCGTCGAGCGCCGCGCTGTCTGCGAAGAGGGTCCGCCAGTGCTCGAAACTGCTCCCGTTCGGTCCTGCCCCCGACCGCCGCGGGCTTTTGGCCAGGCTCGTTTTCACGGCAGCAACCAGGTCCTCCATGGTTTGTTGGTCAGGCAGGTTCGGGGCCGCGCCTGGGACAGCTAGCGCGCCCGCGGGGGGGAACAAGTTTTGGAGTCCCTCGTGGACCCCAGCGCCCGTGGCCAGCGTTGCGGGGCTGCTCGCGCGAACCATGGCCTTGCTGATCAGGTGCTCACCCACGAGCTTCTCCACGGCTTTCGCGTCAGCGGCTGGCGCGGGCCTGGCGCGCTCGCCGCGGCGCTCCGTCCCCCGCCGTGAGCGCCTCTCTAGAGAGCCCGGCCCAGTCTCCCTCCTTCCCTCCCTCCCTCCCTCCCTCCCCCCTCCTTCC